CTCCGACCACCGCGCCCACCGAGCAGTAGCTGCTGCTCGGTCCGCCACCACTTGCTCAGGTGTCCGGTTGGCTCGTGCATCTGCCCATCACGCTGCAGCTGCTGCTCGATCCACCGCCACTTGCTCAGGCGTCCGGTTGGCTCGCGCCTGCACCTTTCTGGTTGCATCCGCACTGGACAGCTGGGGTGTCGGGGGGGAAGGTGTGGCTTGAGTCCGGCCCGTCAAGCTCAGAAGCCACAAGCCTCCACCTGCAACTGTACCTAACCGCCGACATCCTGCGTGATGTCAGGAAGAGGATTACTAGTCTACCGCCCATGCAGGAGATGGAGCAACATCACGGGCACCAGTCCCAACCAGGACTCCTTACCGGAACCAGAATTGTCCATAGAAATGGCCGGTCAGACTGATGTCGCGACAGGTTATCCTCCTATCCTCAAGAAATGCAGTTGAGGGCCAATGGAACACAGTACATCGATACAATATGGATGTATGTTGCGCAGTACCGCTGTTTGGTAGAATTGTATCCTGAATCCGTATGATAAATTTTATCCTGGATCCGTTTGACAAAATTAATAAATGCACTCGAGGGCCAATGGCACACATTACTTCTATACAATAACTGTGCTGCGCAGCATCACTGGTTGATAGAATGTATTCTGAATCCGTATGATTCTATAGAATTTCTGCGACTGAATTTATCCCGGGGAACGCTGCGGTGTGCGCGGCTTCACGTCATTTCGTGGCGGAGCCATTGTAGTCTAGTTTTCCACTGCAAGTCCTGTCCCACAGTGGAACTACGTGGAACTACCCACAGCCACGCCCAGGCGTCCCCGGTTATCCTGATATTTTGTGATAAACGTTTAACCTTGCAAGTTCATGTCAAACAACACAACTATGCGCGTCTGTTGTTCGTTACCCACCACGTGCCCAGTCGTCCCCATGGCCTGACGGCCCAGTATCCGTGTGTCCCCGCCCACATGTTCACGGTACACATGCACGCGTCCAAGCTTCATGCACACGCCCATGTTACATCCTCATGTCCCGCGTCCACGCGTCCATGCTACATCCACATGTGGCTACATCCACGGTGCCACCGTCCCATGCACCCACATGCCCACACGCTCACGCGTCCATGTGCCCTTGCATCCTCGCGTCCTCACGTCCTGGTGTCCTCGTGTCCTAGCATCCTCGCCTGCAAGTCGTGTGCGACCCGAGATTCGAACCCGCGACCTGTCGTCCTCGCATCCTCGCGTTTCGGTGTGCAACTCGAAACTCGCGGAGTGCGACTCGAACCCGCGACCTCTGATTGTGAAGAGGGCGCGCGCTAACGAAAACGCAAAGCTCCGGAACCATCCAATCGAGCGCGACTTTCCAACGAGCCCCGGACGCGAGCCGGTCACGGACGCGATTCAGAGATGCCTTCCCTCCGCTTCGCTCTTCGCTGCGCTACGAGAAGCTACGGTGACAGACAACCGGACAGCAGACGAGGCGCGGTCCCTGCGGTCCCGAGGGTGCCGTAGCTCTCGTCCGGGTCCGGACACGTTCGGGTGCATCCGGATTGCAAATGCTTGCGTATTGCAAATGCTTGCATATGCAATATCCTTACAATTGCATGTTGCCCATGCTTGCATATGCAATGTCCTTGCATATTGTGCATGCTTGCATATTGCGCATGCTTGCATATTGCGCATGCTTGTATATTGCGCATGCTTGCATATTCCAAATGTTTGCATATTGCATATGCTTGCAGATCGCATATGCTTGCAGATCGCATATGCTTGCAGATTGCATATATGGCGCAGATCGCATATACTTGCAGACTGCACATGCTCGCACATCGCATATGCTTGCAGACCGCATATGCTTGCAGATCACATATGCTTGCAGATCGCATATGCTTGCAGATCGCATATGCTTGCAGACAGCATATGCTTGCAGATCGCATATGCTTGCAGACAGCATATGCTTGCAGATCGCATACGGCATATGCTTGCAGATCGCATATGCTTGCAGACGGCATATGGCATATGCTTGCAGATCGCATATGGCATATGCTTGCAGATCGCATATGGCATATGCTTGCAGATCGCATATGGCATATGCTTGCAGGTCGCATATGCTTGCAGGTCGCATATGTTTGCAGATCGCATATGCTTGCAGATCGCATATGCTTGCAGGTCGCATATGCTTGCAGATCGCATATGCTTGCAGATCACATATGCTTTCAGATCGCACATGGCATATTTGCAGATCACATATGCTTGCAGATCGCAGCTGGCATATGCTTGCAGCTGGCATATGCTTGCAGATCGCATATGCTTGCAGATCGCATATGCTTGCAGATCGCATATGCTTGCAGATCGCATATGCTTGCAGATCGCATATGGCATATGCTTGCAGATCGCATATGGCATATGCTTGCAGATCGCATATTCTTGCATGTCGCATATTGCCCATGCTTGCATATGCAATATCTTTGCATATTGCGCATGCTTGCATATTGCGCATGCTTGCAGATCGCGCATGCTTGCATATTCCAAATGCAGATCGCATATACTTGCAGACTGCACATGCTCGCACATCGCATATGCTTGCAGACCGCATATGCTTGCAGATCACATATGCTTGCAGATCGCATATGCTTGCAGATCGCATATGCATATGCTTGCAGACAGCATATGCTTGCAGATCGCATATGCTTGCAGACAGCATATGCTTGCAGATCGCATACGGCATATGCTTGCAGATCGCATATGCTTGCAGACGGCATAGGCTTGCAGATCGCATATGTGCAGTGCATATGCTTGCAGATCGCATATGGCATATGCTTGCAGATCGCATATGGCATATGCTTGCAGATCGCATATGGCATATGCTTGCAGGTCGCATATCGCATATGCTTGCAGATCGCATATGCTTGCAGGTCGCATATGCTTGCA